GACATTAATTTTGCCTTGGTAACAATTGATAGCTCCTCCAACTCATCTCTAAATTCATCGCCATCATCTATATCTTCTATCTCTTCTTGCAATAGATTTGCCTTATTAATTGCAGCGTTTAACGTATCTAATCTACATTTCAATTCTTCTTCTTTAATCGCGATCGCGCCAGAATCGAGTCGATCACTTAATCGGCGAATGCTTTTTACTCGATTTTGTAACTTGGCTTTCAAGTCTTCAAGCAGGTTACTTTTTGGCTTTTCTTGGCTCATTTTTGAATTAAATTATCAAAAACCAAATTTATTATTAAAGGACCAAGTGTTAAAAAATTAAATGAAATTAATTTTCGAATTAAACCACAAAAATAATAATTTATAAAATATTAAATTTGTTCGAAAAAAATTATTAAATAATTATTATTATTAAATAATTATTTAAAAGCGAGAAACAACGAAAATAATTTTAAAATTGAATATCGAGGCACGAAGTATCAAAATTAATAGTGGGTGCAAACGACGGCGAAAAACAATATACCCAACCGAATGCGGGGTAGCGCGTCACTTGACGGTCCGTTAACCTGTAGCGCGCCCAAATGACAAGAACCCAACAACAACAACAACGCTGCTAGCGGCGACCAAGCGAAAGCGAAAACGAAAAAAGTTTACCGCTGCAGCTGCTTGTATATAAGGGCTTATATATTTGTGTATAACGGCTCAGATTAACTTCCCAACTATTAACTTGCGAGGTTTTAACGATAATTAAAAACAAGGGGGGCGACAGTGATTGCAATAATTTAACACAATTTAACAAAAGTTGCATTCAAATTGGTTCAAATAGTTTATATCAATTTAGCACTTGTAAATATATTAGGTATTTATATATATATAATGGCTGTAATATTTGCTACTCTTTGAAATTATTAAAATTGTTTAAATTTTATTTTGCATGCAATCTAGCTCTACTATTTTGTACATATGTGCCAAGAATTGAAAGCGAGGTGCAATTTTTCAGCACTAGACAATTAACAAATATTTCTAGTTTTTTGTCAAAACTCAGCTTTCAATTTTTTGCACAAATACCTTTGGTTCTTCGTTTGGATCTTTCAATCCAGCTGCCACTTTCCTTTTGCAACTCGAGCAATCGCAGGGCATCCCTCGTCGGTGGCAGAAACGTCGAATTAGGTATTTAATTTCGCGACCGGCACGATTAAATTAATAACTGGAGCTTAGTATTTTCTTTAAAACACACGTCGCGGGCAACTTTGTATTTCACACGCAGTTTTGGATTTCTGTGCAACTTTCTGTATCAAAAAAAACACAAGAAAAAATCACTTGCACTTTTATGTTATTTGTGTCACTGTCACTTTTAAAAAATTTGTTGCCTTTTATTTAATTAATTAGTCCACCCGGGGGCGCCATGAAAAATTAGAAGCGTTTTTCTAAATATTAAATTCCGAAAATTTGGGTGGCTAATTAATGTTTTTATTTTGGCAAAACGAAACGAAAATAATGCGTGCGCTCGGTAAGACTCAATTTCAACGAACGATCTATTCTCCACATTATTCTTAAGCCTAGCTTACCGAAGGTTGGCGAAGACGGAGCGAACTCGCAGAGAGCGAACGAAAGCTTTATTGCGCTCCCGCCTTCGCCCTAAACTAACTTACAGTAAACTTCAATTCAATAATACTTATTTAACAATTCAAAATAAACAACAAAAACAAACTGGCTTCAGCCAACAGGCATCTTCCATATTATTGTTTTTGGAAAATACATTAGAGCTCGGTCAAACTTTACCGTGCTTAACGCTCAGTGTTACAAAAGTTATTTAGTCCGTTGAAAGTCCCAGTTTTTACGGGATCTAGACAGTTTTATAATTTTTTTAACACTAAGCGCAGATCATGTTCTTTTCCGCCTTCGCTCTCGTTTGAAAGTATGACGGCTAATACTGATCAGGCAATAGCCGATCTGTTTACCCAATTCTTTCAAACAACGTTCTTCACAGTGCCTCATTCATGTGAGCAATATTTATACCCCATACCTGAGTCGAACTTAATATTTCGTCCCTTAAAGTTCGAAAGCTCCTTTCTTTTGGATCATCAACTTGTTAGACCAGTTTACTCCCCAGATTCTGACGGGATTCTTGGGTGTGTTCTTAAACACTGTGCCAATGCATTGTGTAAGCCCCTTCTCAAGCTGTATACCCTAACCCTACAAACTTGTCAGTTTCCCCTTGTCTGGAAGGAGTCATTTGTTATTCCCCTTCATAAAAAGGGAAACAAGTCGGATGCTAGCAATTATAGAGGTATTTCTAAATTGTCAGCAATTCCAAAGCTTTTTGAGCGAGTAATAACTCCTCACTTGCAGTCCTTTGTAGATCAGTCATATCTCCCTGCCAACACGGATTTATGAAGCGCAGGTCTACTACAACAAATTTTTCAGAGCTCACGTCCTTTGAGATAAACGGCTTTAAAAATAATTTTCAAACTGATGTTATTTACACAGACTTTACTTAAGCATTTGACTCTGTAAAACACTTCCTATTGACTCGCGAACTTGACATGATAGGGTTTTCAGCCGACATTTTAAGTTGGATCTTTAGTTATCTCAGTGGTCGGACACAATGAGTCCTCTAAGAAATTTGTCAAAACTGTTGTCACAATGACTTACTAAATTTAAACAGTTCCAAGTGCAAGCAGATGATGTTTTGTCGGGTCAATCCGCATAATGTCACCTATTCCCTAAGTAGGAATATCTTGAAAAGAATAACGCTTGTTGACGATCTTGGCATCCTCTTGGACCCTAAACTTAAATTCTCTCTTCATATTTTAAACATTAAACGATGGTCGAAGAAATTTTAGGATCCTTACGGTATCAAGACTTTATTCATATCGTTGGTCCGGAAAATTCTTGAGTAAGGGGCACATGATTGGAGTCCTCAATACGGAGTTCACGTTGATCGTAAAGAATCAGCATTTTACATTTTGCCCTATGCCGCCTAAACTGGAGTGCAAACCTATTCCTACCTTCCTATTCTAATAGAGTGCTCCTTACTAACTTGCCCTCCCTTACTAACTGTAGAACAATGCTTGGTACTTTATTTATTCATAACCTTATACGTGGTGAAACTGACAGTCCTAACTTCACGAAGCGAATGGTTTGGAAAACCAAGTGTATTAAGAAAACGAAATATTCAAATTTAAAAACAAAACCACCGCTGAATGTCTGAATATGTCTAAACATGACAGATCGCTTAAAAAATGGGAGAAGAAGGTTTATTAGCAATTGAAGGTATTTTGCCATTTTCATTAATGCCAAAGTGGTTCTTCAATTGCTTTTAGGCTCGTTTCGGTAGCTTCTTTTTCTTGAGGTGTTGCGGCGATTTTTGTGTAGTTTTTTATTAGTCGTTGCTTCTGTAGAAGTTTAATCCTTTTGCCGTTTCTTTTACTCTTCTTGTTGATTGTCTTTATTGTTTCATTTTGTTGTTTGAACGTAGGTGAAAGGGGGTTTGCTTTGTCTATCTTCATTCTTCAGTTATCATTATTCGCAGTGAAAATTTTATTTTACTTCGTTAAAAAAGTTTTTTTGTGTTCTTAGGCTTTGGCCGACTTTATTGGTCACTGCTTGCCCCAATCCATTAAATCATCTTTTAGACCATCATGAGCGCTTTCGTGAACAGACGGATATTTTTTCGCTCCTTCTACAGATCACGTTTTTTCATAACCTCTAGCCTCATAAAATGAATTTCTTTAAACATCGAAAGACTATTTCAATATTTATAGTACACCTATAGGAACAGTTGGAAAAATTATTAAAAATGAATACAACATTTTATTACTGTAATGTTGGTGACTACTTTATAATATAGGTAGCTGCCATAGAAAAAATAAACAAATTAATGGTTACACGCCGTTACTTGCGTTGGATAGAGCACATTTTGTTACTATAGGCCTATGATAGTTTTTTTATTATACCCTTGGAGAGCAAAAGGGTATTATAATTTCAGTCAGAAGTTTGCAACGCAGTGAAAGAGACACCTCAGACCCCATAAAGTATATATATTCTTGATTAGCATCACGAGTAGAATCGGAATACGTCTGTACGTCTGTCCGTCTGTCCGTCTGTCCGTCTGTCTATCTGTCCATCTGTCCATCTGTCCATCTGTCCGTCTGTCCGTTTCCGCGCAAACTAGTCTCTCAGTTTTAAAGCTATCTTGCTGAAACTTTCCCAAAAGGTGTGTAGTCATTGCCCGCAGTATATAAGTCGGAACGGGCTGGATCGGCCGACTATATCGGATAGCTCCCATACGAGAGAATGAAATAAAAAATTCTCACGCCGTTGTTTTTGATCAGATCGACTTGAATTCTTCAACATGCCGTTTTCTAACTGTTGTTGAATTTCGGATTAAATTTCATCAAAATCGGATAAGTGTATCATATAGCTGCCGTAGTAGAGTTCGAAAAATATATATAGAATTAATGGAAATAAATTGATAACATCGTTGTTTTTTATCCCACGAGCATGATTTTTTGAATATCAAGTTTTTTAACAACTCTTATACTGAAAAAAAAGTTTCATAAAAATCTGACAACTATATCTTATAGCTGCCATAGAAAAGATCGAAAAATCTATATAGAAATAACGGAAATAAAATTATAACATCGTTGTTTTTCATCAGACAAGTGTGATTTTTGGAATATAGAGTTTTCTTACGACTCTTGAATTGCGAATTAAATTTGATCAAAATCGGACAACTATATCATATAGCTCCCGTAGTCGAAAATACGGAAAATGAATAGAAAAATCGTCTTAGCTTCGATGTTGTTTAACCTTTATGCATTTTGTTCGACATATTTGATGACTGCAAGGGTATATAAGCTTCGGCTTGCAGAAGCTAGCTTCCTTTCTTGTTTTTTACTTAAAAGTGCAAGGGTATACATAAATACATTTAATTTATTGTACATGTTTTTATTGAAAATTATTTACAAGAAAAATTTTTCTATTTCAAAGAGTATTGGTCTTAAAATAAATTAAAAAAGAACTGAGCAGAAAATTAAATAACGAATTCATCAATTCTTTATAAAGAAGATCCAGGCACTGTTTGTTGTTGTGGAACCTTAGGCCGAATCATCATTGTTGACTTTTTTAATGTATAGTCCCAACCCCTCCAACGAAACCATACTATTCCTTGACGAGCAGTCAGGTCTTGGGGATCATGCAGATATAAGCCATTTAATCCCCGTCCACAAGATTTCCACCACCAGCCACCCTGAAAGAAGTAAATATTTTTTTATAAAATAAAGTTTAGTACAACATTTTAAATAAAACAGTAATTTATTAAAATAAAGTATTTTAAACATTTATTAAATATGTCAATCAAAATACAAAAACGCTAAACAACATCGAAGCTATAACGATTTTCTATTTGTTTTGTATATAGTCGTTAATAGTCGTTAGAATACTTTCGGTATAGATTTTTCAATCTTTCCTATGTCAGCTATATGATATAGTTTTCCGATTTTTAAGATATTTTTTTTCCAATTCAAGGGTTTAAAGTCGTTATTCTTAGTTTATGCTTGTTTGAATCATTTTTTTTTCGTTATCTCCTATGAAAGCTATCCAATATCGTCTCCCGATCCAGCCCGTTCCGACTTATATACTGCGCGCAATAAATGCACATTTTTTGGGAAAGTTTTAAAAAAATAGCTTTAAAACTGAGAGACTAGTTTACAAAGACTTTATGGGATCTGAGGTGTCTCCTTCACTGCGTTGCAAACTTCTCAATAAAATTATAATACCCCCTGCAAGGGTAAAAAAAGATTTTGAATGGGCTTAAAATGCTTTGATATAATAATGCTTTGTATAATCCTCTAGATTTCATTATCTCATAGTCAAATAAAAGATGCGTTTCAAAAAGTTTCGATTACTTATTTTGTTAGCATGAATATCAAAACATCGAAATTATGAAATTATTTCCATGTGAATTGAAACGGAGTTAAAATCTTCAAAAGAAGTACAAAAAGATTTCAAAACCTGAACATGTCATTTTTCGCTTGTTGGTTGATAAAGTTCCGAAATCGGGCATGGACTCCCAAAAGGGGAGAAATAGGTGAGAACACTTACGATTAATTCCCATTCACCGGGATACAATGAAAGTTCAAGTCGGAATAAACACCTTAGAACAAAAGAGAAAGTAGTGAAGTCAGATGCTAATCTTGTCTTAGAATTCCAACCTTAGAAGAGCCCTATGCCCCGTTGGGGCTCCTTTTCCTTTATAGAAAGGGGGTCATTGTCCGGGAGTGTGATCGTTGTCCAGGATTAACGATAAACCGAGGAATGCGTTACGGACGGAGACAGCATCTCGTATTGGAGGCCATATGATTTTAACTCGCAAGGACAAAGACGAAACTTTTCATCAAAGCCTTTGATAGATGATAAGGGTTATATGTATCAGAGAACTGCATCGAATATGATCGTTCATGTTCGATCAAACTTGCTGAAACCGATCACAACTCAACAGAGCGCTTCGCTACGAACGAGTTCGAACCATTCACTTGAGTGTTCTGCTTACTGATTCAAACTGATTTGTTGGTTTCGGTATGATGATCGAAAATGATCGTACCGAAAAAGACGATCAAGGTCAACGACGCACGAACCACTCAGACTTCGATCAAGTTGCACTTGAATTGAATGTGAGTGAACGAATCAGATCGAAAATGTTTGCATAATTTTTAAATCAAATGTTATGTATAATGTACACTCGCTACACAAACATCCAAAACTTTTTGTAATCCTTCATTCTATAAGCACACACATGTATACACACACACGTTTCTCTCGCTACTCTCTAAATAAAGTCAGTCTGTACCAAGCACTCAACGAGATCACTTCGACCATATACAACATTATTGGCGACGAGGATTAAAGGAATCTCAGCCGCAAGAAAACAACATTCTTGTGTAAATCGTATAAAATCGTGTCGCGTAGTCGTTGATTTTCATCAAGATGCCGGCAGATGAGAACTTAATCGAAAAAATGCTTGGTCAACAGCAACAATTTACAGCAACAATTATGGAACAACAACGAAACTGGATGCAAGCAATGCTAGAAAAAACGCTTCTCCAGGTGCTAGTGATTTAAGCCACGCGGGTGAATTATCTATGTGTCCTCCGTTCCACAAATTCGACAAAGACAATCAAAATTGGGAGTCATATCTGGAACAATTATCGCAGCACTTCAACGCATATTCGGTTAGTGCAGAACAAAAACAAAAAGCCTATTTCCTTTCATGGTGTGGTGTAAATATATTCGAACTATTAAAAAATCTGTTCGGGAGTAACAATTTGAATACATATTCTTACAAGCTCACAGACAAGCTCACGGAGCATTTCACCACAAAACGTCATATTGTAGCAGCTCGCTACGAGTTTTTCAAGAGGGAGATGAAGCATTCACAAACACATAGAGAGTGGGTAGCCGATTTGCGCGGGATCGCTCGTGAATGCGAATTTGTGTGCAGCAGAAGTGGATGTTTATCAAATTATGTAGATGAGATGATAAGAGATCAGATCATAGTACATACTCCGTATGATGCAGTCCGGGTATCTGCCCTTCAAAAGTCAAAGCCAACTCTTGAAGATGTACTTTTAGTTGCAGAAACCTACGAGACAACAACAAAAACCGTTGCAGCGCTAAAAGAGAACATATACAAACAGGATCCAATCAATGCGATCCACACGTACACAAAAAAGTTTGAAAAAAGTGGAAGTGATGCCAAGTCGTTCAAAAGTGATTTGAAATCGTGCTCTGGTTGTGGACAGTCTCACCAAAGAAAGAATTGCAAATTCAGAAACGCCGTATGTCACAAGTGTGGTAGAAAAGGTCATATAGCAGTCGTCTGTATGTCAAAGAATGTCAAGTCAAATGCCAAATGGCCTGGTTAAGCAAATAACCGTGAAGTCAAGTCCAGCAAGAACGAAGCAAACGAAGTCGAAGCGATCGAAGCAGTTTACAGTGTCACAGGTCAAGTAAAATGTCAACAAAGCAGAAAAGTCATTGTTCTCGAACTATTTAACCAAGTAATTTCATTTCAAATGGACTCCGGAGCAACAGCATTCGTGATCAACTCCAATACGTACGCGCTGCTGAAGAAGCCAAAATTGCACAAGTGTTCCCGAGTTTTACATGCGTTTGGACATACACCAATACCATTGCTAGGGGAGCTGCACACTGTCGCAAAGTGCGGGGTGAAAGAGAAAGAAGTGGTCTTAATTGTGGCAAATATAGAAACTTCGACCAATCTCTTCGGCATGGATTTATTTAACGTTTTCGGATTCGATATCATGCAAGTATCGAACATTTATGAGGTGCATAATGACAAAGTGCAACAAATACAGCGAAGTGTTTGAACCAGCTATGGGTGTCATTAAAGACTTCAAAGCCAGCGTATTCCTGAAATCGTCAGCAACCCCAAAGTTTTATAAAAGCTGCCAAATTCCGTTCGCTCAGATGGACAAATTTAAAGCTGAAGCAAACAGACTCACACAAGCCGGAATTTGGAAACCAGTCACGTTCAGCAATTGGGCATCCCCCATTGTGCTCGCACCTAAGCCAGGTGGCGATATTCGTATTTGTGGCGATTTTAAACAGGCAGTCAACGCACAAATCGACATCGGACAGTATCCATTACCAACAAAAGAAGCTCTATTCCACATCATTTGTCATGGAAAGCAGTTCAGCAAGATAGACCTCAAGGATGCCTATCTTCAGATGGAATTAGATGAGGCTTCGAAAGAAATCATGGTGGTTAACACACCACTGGGCCTATTCCAGTATCAGCGCCTTCCTTACGGGATTGCAAGTGCACCAGCCATTTTTCAAAGATACCTCGAGCAACTTCTTAAGGGAATAGAAGGTTGTGGCAACTACTTAGATGATATCATCATCTCAGCACCTACAAGCGAGGAACATCACGTCGGGGTCACCAAAATGTTTATGGGGAAGCCAACCAATATGCCACCCTTGTAATTAAAAAACGCACGAGTAGGTTAAGTTAATTAAAGTATGTTTATTTTGGAGTTGCAACTCTTATGTTTTTTTGTTTTTTGATATTTGCGCGAACAGAGTATATGTAAATGGCGAGTGGTCAATTGCTTTGATTGAGGTGAGATAATACGAAAGCGCGGCTTCTTTATACCGTCGCTCTGACGATTATAGATAACATGCATTGATAAAATAGATAAACAAAGAGAGGCTTGAAGAGCGGATTACAAATATGCAACTGCAGCGGCACACCTAAGCGCACCAGATTAGGGGCTGGCTGTCTGCTCCGAACAAGTGGATACATTGACTTTTTTTAAATAAAAAAAAATATATAAATATAAGACACTTATTATTTAAATATTAGTTCCTTTTATATCTAGTAGATATTAATAAAGATTACTGGAAAACAAAAATTAAAGAGATTAATTAATTTTTACGGATTTTACAACAGCTTAAAGTCAAAAGTGACAAACATGGCAAAGATAAATACATAATAATAAAAGTATAGGGGAATGTCGTCAGGGTTGGACACATTTTCGACCCTTGCCCATAATTATCGTTTTAATAAGAATTAAGATCATTTGCGTAAATAGTTTGAAAGGTAAAGGCAATAGGTATGTCTGACAATGAACATTATGTTGTGAAATTAAAAACATAGAAATGGCGAGTATTTAAAAAAAAAAAAAAATGTAGTCAGGCTTGGACACTGTAGTCATGGTTGGACACTTGAATTGCTACTTCAGAAAAGTAGCAATAAAAGAGGACATTATCCATGGATCAGGTGTATTTTATGTCTTTCGACTCTTTTTCATTATGAACAACAAATTTTACAACCAAGTATGAAAAAAAAATTAATCAGATTCGCAATTAGGACAAACAGGACAGCATTATGCAAGTCGACTTTACCTCTTTCCGTCGTTCGCTTGTAGCGTGAACCTCTTCAAAGGGAGAAAATAAATTATTACTCAAAGGATTTATTTTTTTTTACTTATTTACTAATTAATTCACTTTTTGTTGAATCAAGTAATTAATTACCAAATTTATTTATTCATCCAACTCATACTTTATTTTTAGAACTTTAATCTATTTCTTTAATTAATATGTAGGTATATTTGTTCACAATAGAGAAAAAAAATTATTTCATTGATTGTATTTACATGTTTTGTAGTGAATAAATGTAAAAAACATTGGAAAAATTAAAATATCCGGACAAAAGGGGAAAAACTA